TGTGATGTAATCAGTCATTTTAATATCAGTTCTAAAGACAACAAATTAATGTTTGGTCAGTAAACCATAAATGTTTAAATGCACAAATCAGCATGCACTGATGTCTTGATTTGCTGCCTTTTTTCCCCTTTATTTTGGTTTTGGTGTCTTTCTTTGGATTTCTGGTTTCACCTCATTTCTCCTCAGGTTCTGGGTTCCTTGTTTTGGTTTTTCTGTCTAACCAAATGTCAGGAACAAAACAAAACAAGCTGTATTGCATTGCATACCTACTCATAAAACTGACTAGTGTTTTCTGTTGTTCATCAAATTAAATTTGTTTCCTGCTCAGGAAACCATGTAATTATCAACTGGGCTGTCCTCAGAATGTTTCATTCTGTCTCTTAACTTGTGTGTTGTCTCATGCACATTCTCATTCAGTCAGCAGATGCGGTATTACAGGGGGCTTCTAAATGGGTGTCTTGCTGGGCCAGCTTGGCAGACAGCTACACAGAATCTGGCCCTTTGTCTCGCCTCTTTGACATCCCCTCCCAGATGGAGCTGTCAGGAGGGGGTAAGCCACCTGATGAGACAGGAGTCTATTTGAAATGATAATGAGAACCACAGATGAATATGAATGATATTCACTTTCACTATGTGTGGTTAAAATGCATTAAAACAGTCCCACTTCAACAGGAGGTGCAGCCATCCGCAAGGCCACGCTCAGCCGAAACCATGACGGCTTCAACTCCGATGGTTCAAGAGCACAACACATCCTTCCTCAGGTACCAGCAGGGGAGAAGACTGGCATTCCAGCTCCCAGCATTCATGTTCATTATGATCTGCATTCAACACTTGATGTAGAGGACAATAGCTTGGTCGTCCCCAGGTCTCAAGATGGTGTTCACAGGTTAACAGTGCAGGATGACGTAGAACCTGACAGCTTGAGTGACACCAGTAAGTCTGATGATGGTTCCATCATAGAGCAGGTGAGGAGGCCACTGTCAGACACTGAAGAGAAGCAGAACGAGGAGAAGCCCAGACTCCCAGCCAAGTCTACATCATTCTACATTGTGTCAGAGGAGGCTGCGTCCAAGGTGTGCGGGGGCTCAAAACCCAGCACTTCTGAGACTGAGAGAAAACACTCAACCAAAACTTTCTCAACAGCCACTCTCACCAAGCAGAGAGGTAACTGGGATTCAGGAAAAGTTTATCCCAGTGTTTCGGCTCCCGTTCTGGGCCAGGGGACACAGAATCTAGAGTCCAAAGAGGGGACAGTGGCCTCATTAATCAGACAAGAGAGCTTCAACACAGAGCGACCTAGCAATTCCAGTTTGCCTAACATCAGCAGCCAGCCTCTTCAAAGAGACCCAGACCCTGCATTGTTCCTGGGAGTCTGTAACCAGGACACTCATTCTTACCTCAAGGAGACGGAGGAGGTTCTGGCTGTTCTGGAAGCCAAGCTCCAAGTAGGTCAATCAGAGACCACTCCGTCTCCCCTAATGGACTCTCTTTCTGGGGAGTCTGATGTAGATACCTCCAGCACAGTCAGCCAGCATAGTGGTAAGACCAAGCCAAACACACTGACTAATAAACTGTCTGTTAGTGGCCTCCGTAGGGAGAGGTCTTCAGCTAGTATAGCTAGTCAGAACTCAAATCACACTACATCAGAGAAGTGTAGTTCTCAGGGAGCAGACAGCAGAAATAAGACAGAGTCTGTCAGGAGGCCAGTGGGACTAAGACGTAGTGCTGGGAAATGTGGTTTCAAAAACCTGAGTGATGACCCTCAAAGCTTACCTTACTCTGATCAGGAGTTTAGCAACTGCAAGAAATACACAGTGCCCCTCCAGAAGGAGGACGCCAAGACCTCCAGAGTGTCCCAGGCTTTGACTCGTACCAGCAGCTTGTCAGCACCAAGACCCACCAGGGCCTCCGTGCTCCGTCGTGCTCGCCTAGGAGAAGCCTCAGACAATGAGGGCTCAGAGACAGACAGGCTGTCCCAGGAGGTGAGCAACATCCTAACTAAGCAGCCTCAGGAAACCAAAAAGCTCTCCAGGCTGGATATGCTGGCCATGCCTCGTAAGCGGACGAGCTCATTTAACACACCCAGCGACACTGAGGCCTCTTCCGCCCCACAGTGGAAAGGCAGGAGCACAGGATTCTCCAACCGTAGCGAGTCCAGCAGCAACTCAATTCGAAGAGCCTCTGCTCCAGCACCAAAGCCTGTAGAACGGCCGCAGAAAGCAGCACTCATCAAGGCCCCAATCACTCGTGGACGTTCAAGCAGTGCAAAATATGCCAGCAGCACAGCAAGTGAGTAGAATACTAACCCCTGCAGACATAGCTGGTCAATAGAATGTAAATAGTTTGACTGCTGTAACCATTTAATCATGACTTTGTGACTAGACTGGGATTACAAGGTGCGTCGAAGAGTTTGATGCATTCATAATTTATATACTGAATGTTTCAGCCATTTTCATTAAAAAAAAATTGAGAAGGGGACTGACTGTGCTTTCACTAACATAATCCACACTAACACTCGTACTACAAATACCTTGAAATAAAATTTTATTTTCCTCCATGTCTACAGTGTTCTCATGCAGTTTATGGTAATATATGATCTCCTCTCTGTTTACAGTCATGCTGTGAGGATACTTTAACAATGATGAACACTGCAATACTAGCTCTGAGCAAAATATTTTATGCTACACAATACACTGACTTCAAGATATGGCACTAGGTTCTGGTACTCAGCTGCTTTACTGTGGAAGTCAACTTCTCATTTCAGTTTCTAAATGATTTTGAAAGAAAACAGTACAGTGAACGTGTAAGAAATATGGAGACCAGATGATTTCCACAGCACAGTATCTGTCTCTTCTTCTGGGAAGGATTTTGGTGACATGGTACATCTGAAATACTTGGTGGTGGTTTTCATGACGGTATCCTTTGATGACTTCCACTTTTTCTCTCCTGTTTTCCCAACTTCTCTACCTTTAATCCTCCATAACGCAACCCAATTCATGACACCAAGGCTCCAGGAGACGACAGAAAGACTCTGACTATACTTCTACCTCAGATGATGAGTATGATTCAAACCAGAGCACTCCTAAATACAAACGCTCCCAACCTTCCTCAGCTTCCCACAGCCCACACAGTCAGCCTCGGCCCCAGCCGGTGGTCCCTCTGCATCCAAAACCCCTTGGCAGAGATTCTGAGGAGATGAACCACGAGGGAGATGCTTTTCACAACTGGTCTACCCACAGTGCTGAGATTGCACGGTAAGACAGGAGCTGTATATTAAAGTTGGAGCTTCCCCCCCTCGGTGTAGATGCTAATATGATTTCCAAAGGTTGTGTCAGTGTGTACTGACATAAAAGGTGGTTTCACACCTGCAGCTTTTACATCACTTTTATTTCACAGGTTTTTATTAAGGGTTTATTATGTGAAACTACACAAAACATTCAGGTTTGCTTCAGACAAAACAGACTCAATTGAACCTGGACATGCAAAGATAAAAAATGTAATTAAACTATAACCACAACCAAGGTGTGCATAAACTACATTAACTGACCGCTCAGGGTTTTTTTTTTTTTACTGGCATAATAATTTGGCATACTATTGCATTACTGCAATGCACCATTACATTACATTGCAAAACCAGATTTTAATCAGTGTATTCTGTTATTGTTATGGAGCATCTGTGTAAAGAAAGCAAGGATTTTACATTGGCTTTTCAAACACGTGTTCCCACCCTGATAGCTTGAGTCAAGACCTGGCTAAAGACCTAGCTATCCTGGCCAGAGAGATCCATGACGTGGCAGGTGATGGTGACCCACAGAACTCTGGAGCGGAGAGTTGCACACCTGTCTCCACAGTGACTGCTCATGAACAGGTACATAAGAGTATCACATACTGGGTGTAGCTGCTGCTTAATCTCAGTCACTGAGGCATCAAAACTGTATTTGATCAAATGGCCAACACTGAACATGACTACCTTTTATGACAAACTTCACTCAGTTTTAAAAGAGAAACTATCTTTTTGTGCTTTGTTCTAAAATTGTTTTGCATTAGCCGCCTAGATCAGGTACAGTTATGTAACATGAGTAAAAATAATCTTTTTATCTCATCCATTAATTCATAACACCGTTCCCTGAATGAGTGAATCAGTCCATTGTGGTCAGTATAGACAATATAATTGTGGTTATGACCATATGGTCATGAGCTTTTGGTCATGAACGAAAGGCCAAGATCCCGGATACAGGCGGCCGAAGTGAGCTTCCTCCGCAGGGTCACCGGGTGCACCCTTAGAGATAGGGTGAGGAGCTCAG